ACACCGCAAGCAATTCAAGCTTTCGAGCAGTTGAAAAACGCATTAAGCACTGAGGCATTGCTGGTCCGACGGAAGGTTAACGCACCTTTAGCAATAATGACCGACGCCTCTAATGTAGCGGTAGGTGCTGTACTTCAGCAACGCGTCAATCAACAATGGCAACCCCTATCATTTTTCTCAAAAAAGCTAAGTGCGACGCAAACAAAATATAGCACATTCGGTAGAGAACTGTTGGCCGTCTATTTAGCAATCAAACACTTCCAGTATATTTCCCAAAGTTGAAATCATGAGTCAATTGAAGCTAGACCACCATCGAAAACCTAGAAACACTGGACGGCCGTTTCGTCCTACTATGGGACTCCTCAGCAGTGCGCATCCACGAACCCACTCTCGCGAGATTCGAACCCAGGACCTACCAGTTTCGAGCCGAAGCCCTTAACCGATAGACCACTGAGCTGGCATCCAACGGTGTTAATGTCTAACTTCAACTGATCCACGAAGTTGAGCAACCATTCACCAATTGTCTTCAGTGAGTTCCTATCTCACAACGGACGTGGTTGAACTCCACTGGTCACTGCTTCCCACTAGAACTCCAGGACATGTATCTTGAAGTCAGTCACTAGTGAGCATATGATTATATTTAGAAGGGGATTTGTGGAGATTTCAGTATTTTTCAAAGTTGAAATCATGAGTCAATTGAAGTTAGACATTAACACCAGTGCTTCCAGGTTTTCCATGGTGGTCTAGCTTCAATCGACTCATGATTTCAACCTTGAAAAATACTGAAATCTCCACAAATCCCCTTCTAAACTTCCAGTATATGTTAGAAGGCAATTCTTTTACAATATTTACTGATCACAAGCCGCTAACTAAATCCTTGATTCAAAACCACGATAAATACAGTCCACGCGAAATTCGTCAACTAGAATTCATTTCGCAATTTGCAGCTGACATACGCTATATAAAAGGCATGGAAAACGATGCAGCAGATGCGCTATCTAGATTAAACATTAATACCTTCTCAATCCATGATATAAATTATCAAGATATGGCGAAACATCAAAAGCTCGACATGGAGCTAGAGAAACTTTTACAATCTAGTGAAACGAAACTATTATTCCAAAACATTCCCATAAACAACAAGGACACCTTAACCTGTGATATCTCAACAGGTAGAACTCGCCCCTTTGTACCTTATGATATGAGACGAAACATTTTTGAGAAATTGCACAACATATTCCATCCAGGTATAAAAGCCACTGTAAAGCTTATTACAGATAGGTTTGTGTGGCCAAACATAAACAAAGATGTACGAAAATAGTCTCGGGAATGCATCCAGTGCCAGAAGTCGAAAGTACACAGGCACATCATATCTCCTGCAGGAAATTTTCCCGTCGCTAGCTGTAGGTTCGACCACATTCATATGGACATTGTTTGACCGTCACCAATTTCCAATGGCTACACGCATATACTAACGTGTATAGATAGATTCACGAGATGGCCCGTAGCCGTCCCGTTAAAAGATACATCGGCATCAACAGTGGCGAGGAAATTAGTGAAACACTGGATTACAAATTTCGGTGTCCCATCAACAATTACGACTGATCGTGGGGCTCAGTTTGAAAGCAAACTCTTTCAACAACTTACAGACACCTTTGGTATAAAGAGAATCAGAACCACTGCTTATCATCCAAATGCTAACGGAATGATAGAAAGGTTCCATCGACAACTAAAAGCCTCTTTGACGGCCGCAGGAGGAAATTACAAATGGGATGACAAGCTTCCTTTGATATTATTAGGCGTTCGCTCAACCATCAAACAGGACATCGGTTGTTGTGCGGCTGAGTTGGTTTATGGGATGACATTACGTTTGCCGGGTGAGTTTTCCGACCATGCAACAGATGTTCCAGCAGATATAACCAATTACGTGCAACAATTGAAACGACAGATGGAAACCATTAGGTCCGTCGCACCACGAATTCAGAAGGCGAAGTCATTCGTGCCCATCGAATTAGACAAGTGTTCACATGTATTCGTCAGAAATGATAGGGTACGACCGCCTTTACAGACCCCTTACGACGGCCCTTTTAAAATTGTCCGAAAAGACAACAAAACAGTTACGATTGGAAAAGCTGGTAAACATGATACTGTTAGCATCGACAGAATAAAACCAGCGTTTTTAGAGCACGTCGAGGAACAAACAACAAAATCATGAAAATCGATAGGCAGAACACTTTAGGGATCAGTTCAACTGGCCTTCAGCCACATTTCAGTTACCCACGATCCCCAGTCGTCCTGAATGGAAAATTGATGTAAGTCCTCCAACTCTCTACGAGGTTGTAGGTATCATTACCAAGACTTGATTTGATAATTTTGTACGAGGTTGTAAAAGCTATAGGAAACCTGAAGCGAGGGAGAGCAGCAGGCCCTGACAGGTTTACTCCTGAGATTTTTAAGGATGGTGGTCCAGTACTAGCAGCGAGATTGACTGAGATCTTAGGTAGAATCTGAGAACTGGATGTAATTCCATCTGATTAGTTCCAATCACTGATTGTGCCAATCTATAAGAAAGGACAAAAGTCCTCCTGTGACAATCACAGAGGGATCAGTTTAACTAATAGTGTCTAGAATATTAGTTTTAATAATACTTCGACACCTAACCAAAGTTCGTGAAGAGCAGACTAGAGAAAACCAGGCTGGTTTTCGACCTGGACGTGGTTGCATAGACCAGATATTCACTCTACGTCAGGTCCTAGAACATAGACATACATTCAGACGTCCCACAATAGTAGTATTTCTTGACCTTAAGGCGGCATTTGACTCTGCTGATCGTGAGGTTCTGTGGTAGTGTTTGTCACTGAAAGGAGTACATTAACTTCATAAAGGCTCTCTACTCGAACACAACTGGTCGAGTTAGAGCCTATGGCGAACTGTCATCAGAATTGGTTACCTCAAGTGGTGTTCGTCAGGACTGTCCACTCTCCCCATTCTTGTTTAACTTTGTCGTTGACGTGCTCTTAGAAATCACACTTTCCTCATCCAAATTTACAGGAGTTGAACTTTTACCGGGAGGCTCACTTGTTGACTTGGAATACGCCGACGACATAGTTTTATTTGGTGAAGACGCTGACAAGATGCAGTCTTCTGACCACTATAAGCAACAATGCAGGGATGTTCGGGATGCGATTCTCTCCCTCGAAGTGCAAAATGTTACTTCAGGATTGGGTTGCATCGACACCTGAACTAATGATAGGGAGTGAAGTAGTTGAGCGTGTTGACTGCTTCACTTATCTTGGGAGTCTCATCAGCCCTTGTGGTCTGGTGTGTGACGAAATCTCAGCACGGATACAGAAGGCTCGTCTAGCTTTCACCAACTTGCGTCATTTATGGCATAGGCGAGATATCCGTCTAGCAATCAAAGGACGGGTTTACTGTGCAGCAGTTCGTTCCGTTTTACTTTATGGCAGTGAAACATGGCCGGTAAGAGTGGAGAATATTTTCAGGTTACTAATATTCGATCATAAATGTCTTCGAAGCATTGCTCTTATATCCTCGGACCACCGAGTAAGTAGTGCAGTTGTTAGGAAACGAGTACTAGGTAATGATGGCAAATCGATCAATGAAGTAGTGAAACTTCATCAGTTGAAATGGCCGGGACACGTGTTACGTTTGCCCAACCATCTACTGCCCCGATGGGCGATGTTTTATGGTGTAGGAGTAGGTTGGAAGAATGCTAGGGGCGGCCAGACCAAGACGTGGCACAAATCCATGAAGTCACTGACAATTGGACTGAGCCATGTTGGTAGGTGTAGACTACCTGGTTGGGATTCGCGAGATGATAGCAACCGATGGTTAGAGACCTTGAATGACATGGCTCAAAATCGTTTGCAATGGCGAAGGTGCATCCATTGTTTTTGTTCTCCCAAATTCTAATCTTCTGAATTCCTTATGTCCCTTTCTTTTCTCTCTTTCCAAATTTATTTCACTGTATGCTTATACTCTTACTACTTCTACCACTATGGGATTTGAATCGACAACTTCATCTCTGTGCTAATGTGATATGGCAACTCGAACTGATGTACGCACGTACGAAGTTTTACGTTGTGACTGACTCAAATCATTCAACAACAAATAAGAAAGATATTCAACTCACTGTGAAAACAAGCATCTCGCCAGCCAGTTATCCCATGCAGCGCTTGTAATGTATTGAGTGACTGAAATAGATATTCTAAGAACCTACTGACTTACTTTCTCTCAAACTAAATCATCGAGTGCAGATTTAATCCACTGGCAATTGTCAGAAATTTCTTTATGATGTGAAAGAGACACTCCTAACCTTTATATCCTATCCAGTCACTCATAATAGTAATGAGATTGGAGTGGTGTATATATGAGCCTTATAATAAAAAGTCATAAAGCTACAAGCAACTTACCTATACTGAAGGATAATAAGTGCCATAAAAGCAAAATTGATGTCCACACACAAGATATTACATCCTACAAGCTACAGATATACCTTAGAAATCGATCCTATTGGATCTTGTGAGGTAAACATATTAAACAAATAAGTTTTTAGACACGATGAGTCCTCTAAGCACTCCATCTAGTAAGGCAACTAAAATATTGTACTGCGTTTAACTTGCAAATGACACCGAAATATCAAGGAAGCGATTACTTTAACAAGTCAGTTTTTAGTGATATTCATGAGACTCCGAATATCTTAGTCGTTGTATTTACTGATGTTTCCATACGAACTTCAAAAGCAACAGTAAATATAACTTACCGCTGGTTCAGTACATATGTGCTACAAATCATGCGACCATAACGACCGGCTAATGTTGACTTAACTTGATCGTATACTATATAAAACTATTGAATTACTTAATAATAAGATTTGTATCCAATATTTGGGTCCATTTTATAAATTTTTAAAATCCAATATGCCTTTAGCAACCAGTAAAAAAATAAGTATAATTATGTACTGAGAAGTTTACACCTACCAAGTACAGTTGTTATCGAAGAATAAATTCGTTTGGTATCCCAATTCACTTTAAAACTTTCTATCATTTTTTCGCAAGATTTAAAAATGGTTCCTTTGAAGAGCTGGAAGTTGCTACTAGTTGTTTGTATCCGTTGTGGATTGCACGTAATAAAACTCCAAACAATAGTGTTCATTGCACACCATGCGCCGAAACAACGGATATGTTTTAGTCGATTTACTGCTTCATATATAGGAATTCTTTCACATTCCGTGAAGAATTCACCATTGAATTTAAACATGTACTAGAACGAAAGGAAAATGAAAATTTTAACTATAACATAAGTTGTAGATGATAGCTCATTTATACTAACATTATTCGCCACTGTTCAAATACGATGGAGAATAATATGGATTATTTCCCTGAAGCAGATATTAGAGGACATATAGAGGATCGTGAATTTGTGTTTTTTTAATTGTAAGATCTAAACAACAACCACAAACGTTGTGTTCATAATTACTGTTATTTAATAACGCTTTTTACTGTGAAACGCAATTCTACTCCATTAATGAACAGTCAAATACTGTTTGTTTGACTAATGTAAGAGGAAAAAAGGTAGTCAACTAATATGGATTTATATTATATATTTTGAAGATTCTCTTTAGCCGTTTACTACTTACAAAGCAATACAAGAAACACATCCTATGTAAGAAAAAATTTAGGCTCGATACAACAGAATAATGGAAAACGGCAACTGCGGAGGTTAGTTCAGACAGTTATTAAATGTGTTTATTTATTTAAACACATAAATATTGGTACAAAGGGGCACCAGATATATATGCGCTACACAAATCTCATTTGATTTGTGTAAGAGCTGTGATACTTCCCGGTTTCTCAAAACGAAGCAGGTGGTTTTCTTAAGAGGCCAAGCCCGAAGCCTTTGACCTAAAGATCTGATCCACAAGGCAGTAGAGCATCGTAAGGAGATGCAGTCCCATGGTAGGCGGTGACCAGCGATTGATTCATGCGCCATTCGTTTCCTCACGATACTGGAGCCCATGTTCACCATTGGTTTGGAATCAGGGTTTTCCAACTCCCCTACGTGGACTTTCTGTGTCCACCAACCCGGTTAAAGCGTCGGACATTCACTTCTCGTCCTTTCAATTTCGTTAACAACACCCCTGTCACTAGAAGGCAGTGAGTAGGACTTCCCTGGCAGAGGCTATATACGCGTGACCATATGAGAGCATTTTAAGAGATAGAGCGGACTCTCCCCACTCTCGGCCGTACCAGAGCATTTGGAGGCTATGTGTATATTCTAGAAAAGACTGAAGGGAGCATGAAAGCAGAAATTCTAGAAATGACATGAAAGGTCAGTCCTATTTTATGTAGTGCGTAACAGTAGAATGAATCGACTAGATCAGACAAGGAGTAAGGAATTATAATCAATATCATGAAAAGAGAGTCACCGGGACCATTATGGTAAAGCCAAATTGATAACTGGGCCTTGCTGGATGTATAAATTTGACTTAAATCTTTTCATGGAAACTGCTTCGGCAAAACATAGTAAGTTCGAAGTTTATCAATTATTTCGAAAGACCTTGACACACCAACATCATATCCATTGTCAAGCACATAGCTAGCAATCGCACGACTGGAAATGGTATCCTTTGAGTTTCTGTGGACTGTGCTCACCGATGAGGACAACAACCCTGCTTTCTGTTCTCCCAATGTCTGCGGCTTACTATGTACATGTAGACTGATAGACGCAACTGGAGGTTCCATTGGACGGAAATTTGTATGCATTTGACCGTCTTAACAAGCAATTCGTTTAGTACATACTTCAGCTTACTTGATAGATTTATCCTTTTTATTACAGCCTTTAGCCTGAAACTAATCAACTGATACTTTGCCTTGCGGTATGATATATTCCTTTAGCCCATCACACTATATGTTTGTACTCTCACCCTGCTCTGAACTGCAGCTTATCGGCTACAACACATTCAAGTTGCAGCCGTACATCACTTACCCCGGTCTATCCAACCAGGTAGCATGACTAGCTTTAAGAGCAAGTGTACTAACCTACACTCACTTATTCAACTCGATTCAATCACTATCTAAGTAGATGATCAATGTAACTAGCCTTTATATCAGCCATTCGTGTGCAACGTAGAACCTAGCACATGTGTTCATCAGTCCAAATTGCCATACAACATTAGCACAGCGAGATAAAACTATCAAGACAAATCCCGTAATAGATGTAATAACAGTATCGTTAGTGACAGGAAAGTTAAGTATAGAGAACGAGGAAAAGGTATAAGGCAGTCTACAAACCTAGGGTTCAACGTAAGAGAAAGCGTGAATGAGCCTGCACTATTGCAAACGATTCTGAGTCATGTCATTTAAAGTACCTAGGCATTGACTCGGAGAACCACACAAAGCCTATCCAGGTAGTCTACACTGACAAACACCCCTCAGTTCAACTGTAAATCGTTATATCGATTTCTAACTACCGAACGACTTTCTAAGTCCAATAACTACTGATTTTATGATAAGCATTTTAGTATATAACAATCTTGTTCCATTTTTTGCAGATCCATAAAAGGGATATACATCTATAAAAGGACCTTTTCATGTGTTATGAATGACAATATCACTATGGAGACTTTTCAAAAGAATAGGAAAAATACATTCATATATGGACAAAAATGAACTAACAAATCAATTTCTGCTAAACAGTTTATTAAGTATAATTGTACAGTTCATTTGTCAGAATACAAGTCCTCATAAGTAACTAGGTCTCGATTAAGTTCGCATGATATTTTGTTCGAAGGCTCTTCATTTGAGTTACAGGAATCTGTTTTTCGAAATGATCGATCTACATTATGGGAAACAGAAAATTAACTTTAGCACTTCTATAAATGAATTAAAGTTTGGTGTGACAAACAGTAAATAAGATCACTTTTTGTTAGTAACACATAGTACCTCGATTCACCTACAATCGTTTGATGATTTGGGTAGCATCACTAACCACCCTCCAAAACTGTTTTACTCAAAACTGAGTACATAAATCCCTTACCATCCTGTCTATACGTCTTAAGAAAACCGGAATGCTGATTGTAAATAATTGTTAGTAAAAATAGTGCTTTAATTGATTAACAGATACTTTAGACAACTATTCTATTCAGTTTAATATAACATGAATCCAATAATTAAAAACAAAAAGCCCAAATACATAACTACGTGCCACATAATATAAAGTGGATATTTTCTGAACTATAGTAATTTATAGGTTTAAATGAACATATTTTTCATTTATAGATGATCAGTTATGAGGAGAAACTAATAGGTTAATGAATGCGGATGAAAATCATAGGCCAAGAAGGAACGCGACTTACATGGACTATATTTTGTAGGTGAAAAAGGTTTCACGTGGAAAGGTCTTCGAGCATACGAAACACGCAAAAGACGATTGCTTACCATTTGGTGATCCAGCTAAAATTCAAGGAAATAGGTAGTTACTTCCCTTACCTTCAATGCATTTTGGGCCATTTGATTCGTAGCCATTGTAACGTAGGCATGGCTAAAATGAAAGTCAACTTTATAGCAGAATAAAAAACTATAACCAAAGTGTAATATACTTGAATATACATGCCGAAACAAATGACGTAAGTATATTATGTAAAGTTCCTATATGTAGTGTATTATATATAGTGTGTTTTAATAACACCTGAAAAAATTTCGTATTGTGCAAGTTTTGTTCAGAAAATCCAGATAAAAAGACAGCAGTGTTCGCCAGTATAGATGTGAACGAAAGCAGAACAAGATATGATGTATATATCTTTAATAATGGAATAAAAGGTACCTGTACTGCCTTAATTCCAATGCAATAGCCGAAGGCCTAGCAAGATATTAAATTAAAACAATGCTCAGAGTTCATTGCTGATAGTGTTCATAAGATCATCTTTAATTTTGTATGAACGAAATAAATCAGACAATCAGTGCGACAGCTTTAACAACTAATAAATTTAATAATGACTACTACTAACTTTGAAATAATGTAAATTTTGTAGATCCAACTGTCGAAGTATTTATTAGAATCCAACAACGTTACCGTCAACAAATAACACTTAATCAGACATGTGAGAGTAGACAAAGGGGAACTCCAGTCACGTGAAAAAAGTCAAAAAACAACATAAACTTGACATCACTCACAGAATATAACATTGTTCATTCACAAAACTATACAGAAATATAGGCGACAACCCACTCTCTGAAAACTTCCGAGCCTTTACTTTAAGTTCTTCGATTAGAAATTTACTTGAGTGAAGATTCCCTCTCATTGATTAAGTCAAACGCCATATTGATCAATCAATATGTTGCTAAGTTATTTGGGGGGGGGTGGAAGACGTATATTGAGTACGACTATTCACTGCTTAACTTGATGAGCGATGCTTGATAATGCATAACTAGATTGGGAGAAAGCTAAGGGAGGCCAAACTAAAACGTGGCATCAGTTATTGATCTTAGATTTGAGGCACGTTGGCAGATGCAGAATGCTTGGTTGAGGATAGGAGTGATAACCATGACCAGTGGTTTAAGACTTTAAGTGACATGGTTCAGAATCGTCATCAATGAACCAGATTTATCGACCCTTTATCATCCTCTTGATCTTGAATTTCAGTATCCATTCATGCTTACCTCTCTACTCTGCCATTTTGAATCATATTCCCAATGCTTAGTTTTTCTCATTATCATTGCTGCAATGCTATGTCAGCCTCTGTCGCGGTTCATCTTCATATCGTCGTCCTAATACGGTATGGAAACTTGGGCTAACACATACCTGCCCCAAGTCCTGTATTGATGTCTGTCTGTCTAGGACGAAAGAAGTTAACTGATAAGAGGGATCATACTTAAAATTCGATTTTTTCAACTACTGCTTACCTCAGCATATTGTGATAACTGAGACAGTATGAGAGAAGCTTAGATTGAAGCAGTTGGACCGAAGTACCAAAAAAGGAAATAATCCCATTTTTAAATGTAGTAGTTCGGACACTTCGGTCAGTGTAATTCATCAGCTTAATGATATAATAAAACATAACTGGCCAAACTTTGAGTACACCACCCCATAAGCTCGTCTTCACTCCTTTAAACCAGATGCATTATGTTTGTGTTTGGTTTACTCAGACGACTGCATCAAACATACCAAGGTTACAAAGATATGTGGTGATGAGCTTATTTTTATTGATAAATTATAGCAGGAAAACATAATTCATGCCTCATAAACCTAATTGGAACTTTTGAATAATTATCAAGATTTCTTAGAACATCAGAGACGTACTTGGAGGGATTACCAATCCTAATCCTTACAACGGTACCATAAGGCTTGAAAACATCATGAATAAAAGGTTCAGTGATATTATGATACCCAACATATAAGGTAGAGTGTGTTGGTCGGTTCGGAGGATGTGACTGATCGAAATTGCAGGAATCTGAAACATCCGATATCTTTAAGTAAGAAAATTAAAATGACTACTTGATCCGTATCCAAATTTTTGTCATCTAGTAGAAGGTTGAACTGCTGTTTTCTCTTAGTTTGTAAGGTCTCGGAAGCATCCGTACAGTTTCCTTCACAAGTGGCCGCTTTATAGTTAGATAAGACATCTATTCTTTTCTCCTCAGGTACCAACGCGTTAAGTATTGGACCAGGTAGAAAATTGCGGTAGAGTGACTGTTTCACCTTCGGGTTCACCTAGTATTGCAGATTATGTACCAATTTATTATACTTACGTTAGGTCCGGGTACTTCATCTTCTTCACTTTCCTGTATGTAACAACAATCCATATTATAGAATCACTAACCTTAGGTTTACGTTTAAATGTATGACGCTCATTTTTATTCTCAATTGATATTGCTCCTGACTTAAGAAGCTTCATGGCTTCTTCTTTAGCTTTTTCCCTTGGTTTCATAGCTTCATTTCCTTATAACTAGAAAAATAAAGCAAACCTCTCGACTTTTCTTCTTTACGTTCACACTTCTTAACTTCATGGTCAATATCAGTCAGGGTTCTTCTCTAAATAGGCAGGTAAAACTACGTATGCCTTACCATTTGCTTAAGTGATAATAACTCTTTGCGTAGAGATTTCTCAGGATCAGTGTGTTCATCAGGTAAGTCAATTGTAACTATAGTCAGTTAATTTATCAAAGAATAAATCGTACATGACGCTAGTAGTTCGTCAACATCAATATTTCTAAAAGCTCGGTATAAAGCACAGTAGTAACTTACTTCCCAGCCTCAAGGTCTGGATCTTCTATTGTCATGATGACTCACTAGTAGGTTGAGATATCAAGTAAATACTGCAAAGAAAAGTTTCATATCAATGATTATATATATATATATATATATATATATATATATATATGACATGACTCAGAATCTATCACAATGGCGTAGGTGTATACACTTTTTGTCTTCCCTTAAAATATGAGATTAGAACTGCTTCATATCTTTCTTATATACAATCTTCTATATATTACCACTTAAATTAACTACTTCTATGAATTCGGTGTTGATCTTGTTATGCTAATAAGGTATGGCAACTTGGACCGACGCATATATGTGCCTGGTCCAACGTTGTAGCTGACTGACTGAAAAGAAAGAGACTCAAGAAATGGGAATAAAGTGACCCAAAACTGGAGGTTGCGTATGAAAATGAAGATATGTAGGGACAAATTTGTGACATCTATAGCTATTCATCCAATACAGTCACAAATTTAAGTATATATCATTTCGCACATGTTTTGGAACTCTTGTCTTCTGAAATGATGTTTGAAAGCGGCTTTGCATTATTATTTTATGACTGCTCAAAATAAAATTACTCAAGTGTACAACTACTTACCTAATACTTTGTAACTACAACGTGACCGGCATAACAGTAACATTTATTCATTTAGCCGTGCAATTACACAAGCGTAATGCGTGAATAGAGATGTATAGATAATATTTTTGAATATTACAATTTATGACATGCTAAAATACGTTAGGCGAGCTTCATATGTATTCACAGTTATAAAAACTGCTTATTTATAATTCTTTCCACGTGCTATTCAGAAAGGACAGTGGTATTTTTCCTCTGATTATATTTTACAGTACTGATCGTTTAATTACGCATCAAGACTACTGTTTTTTGTTTTAATTGAATTTATTTCAGTCAAAGTAACCTCTAAGAGTATCGCTTTTTTCAAGAGTTCTTTTGAGTACAAATATCAGAACGGGCAGTTTTTTTTTAATTTTTCCTCGTTGAGTATATCTTTCAGTATTGTTTGTATCCAAAGGTGTTAAGGTCTTTTTGCATCTACTGAAGTCGGATTTTTTTCATTGTTGTTAGGTACAGTAATAAGTAAACCTATTTTGCGTTTAGTGTCTATCGCCTATCAATCCTTAAAAGACAGTTTCTATACAGATCAGTTTTTGCTGTTGTTTTTCTTGAGACCATAAAACAATTTTATGGAGCAAGTAAAACAACGTCGTGGCAGACCTGCATTCTATTTCCCGGTGGATAATGGAATGTGATGTGACAAGTGTAATAATTGGTATCACAATGTGTGCACCGGACTCATATCGGCTGCATATAAAAGGTGCTGAAAGCCACTATGACGTTGGCCGTGCAAAGCATGCATAGACTCATTCCAGGCAGTTATACAATCATGCAACAACCATATATACTCCGAACAGTTCCAAAGAAGAAGCAATGCTATCTCTGGATAGGCCGGGATATTCAACGCTAACTAAGACAAAAGAAGGAATGTTGGAACGTTGCCATCAGCCTTGGCACAGCAAGTACTATGGAACGCTGCAGTTCGGCATAAAAAAACGATTAGCTCAGAGGAAACATGAAACGAAGTAGCCTAAGAGACTATTCACATACATAAATTACAGAACAAGGGCACAGCATTGGATTCCCAAGCTAATTACGGAAGGAAGTGGGTCTGAAATGATGGATGATCAGGGAAGCGGAGGCTATGGCAAACTATTTCGGGTCAGTATTCACTTGGGAGGCTCTTCTACGTGAAGAATTAGACCCGAATACAAAGTCAACAAACCGTCTGCCCACCGTGAACTTTGATCGATACGATGTGTTTAAGGCTCTTAGTACTTTGAACACGAAAAAAATGACAGGAAAGGATGAACTACACCCCGAAATCCTGATACAAATTGCACAACATACTGCAGCCCCACTAACTGTGATATTCAATATATCACTTGGCCAAGATGTTACCTACTGACTGGAAGGATGCAATCGTCACCCCACTACATAAAACAAGACCAAGACAACTCCCATTGAACTACAAACCTGTCAGCGTCACCATTGTCGTAGTTAAGATACTGGAAAGAATAGTTAAGAAGACTATAATGACATTCGCGAAAGCCAACAACTTGTTAGACATATAACATGGTTTCAGAAGCGGTTTATCTTGCACAACAAACTTTCTTATAGCAATGGGACAATGAATAGACTCCAGACAATGGATGTTGTCCACATAGACTTCAGTAAAGTAATTGATATGGTGATGAGTCAGTAATTTTTGATCTAATTGTCATGAGTAAGTTAAGGAACCTCGGTCTACCTTTGTACGACTTACCAGATATATCGTCCACCATGGATGCTTTCTTCATAGACTTCAACAGATCATGTGATAAGGAGTCAAAAAATAGACTACTCGTGAAACTGAGCAACCCTAACATGCCAGATATTTCCTGAAATGGATCGAAGAATTCTTGATAGGTCGTAGACGGAAAGTAAGAATCAATCCCAAATGCTCCTCATGGAAACTAGTTCAGTACCGAAAGACTCCGTATTTGATCCTTTACTTTTCAGACTGCATGTAAGAACTCCAAAGTATAGTTGAGCCCCCAATGCCAATATACGCCGATGTGAAAATCTGGTGAGACAACAGGAGACGCAGATGCATGCGCACTTCAGGCAAACTTAAACATTGTGATTAGCTAGTCTAAAGAGTGACTGATGCCTATCAACACGACAAAGTGTGTCTACATACAGAATAAGTACATGAGGGTTAGTAGGTACAGCATAGAGGGAGAATCTGTGCCCCAAGTCTGACCTCACAAGGACCTTGGTATGACAGTGAGTTATGATATTAAGACCACATGTCACTGCCACTGGGTCGCAGCTAAGGGGTTTAGAACCCTATGGGCTTTGAGACAGATGATTACCAATTCAAATAATAGCATGTTCGCCACACAATCTTAGTGAGATCCAAACTTGAAAACTGCATTTAAGCTGCAATCCTCTGTTTAAAAGGTGGCTCAGATATCTTGGAAACAGTACAGAAGGCAATTCCAGAACTCCGGGGTTCACCACACAAAGAGTGGCTTGAGAAGCTAGATTTCTTTACTCTGTTCTACCGCAGATTAAGGGTTAATCTGATTTCGATTTACAGAATACTATGAAATGATTTTAGACCAGATATAACCTCTCTTTTTCTCCCAACCAGATGAGGACAACTCATAAGGTATAGCAGGCAAGTAGAAAAGCCAATAACGAGTAAAATACTCGCGGCATACAGGATTTTACAGTCATTCATTTGTAGTGAAATACTCTTATGACGAGGACGCGATTGGTATAATGGAAACAAATAATATTATAAATACTCGTGGCTTAAAGGACTTTACGTCATTCACTCTTAGAACCTGTTACCCGAAGCAGCGGTGTCTGCCTCCTCAGTTGAATCATCCAGGCGAAGAATAGACACTCATAACATATGCCGTAGCCTAGACAGAACAGAAAGCTTTCTGTTCTCACTATACCCACCTATGTAAGGCCACACTTAGAACACTGTATCCAAGCAGCTAGCCCTTGTCTGATAAAAGATACTAAATCGCTTGAGCGTGTAGGGACAAAATTAGTAAAGGGTCTTTCTAAACTCCCTTACGATGAGCGTTTAAAACGTCTAAATCTTTTCCCCTTATCTTATCGTAGGACGCGAGGTGACCTTATACTGGCATTTCGTATCTTTAATTATGATCTGGGTGCTAATATGTCTTATCTTTTTGCTTCCTCCAGCACTAATAATCTCCGGGGTCATAGCAAGAAGGTTCTGAAACCGCGATCTAATAAACTAAAGGTGGGGTCCTGTTTTTCTCATCGAGTGGTCAATGATTGGAACGCTTTGCCAGAACAAGTGGTATCAGCACCATCAGTGAACATTTTCAAAAGGAAGATGGACCTTCACTGGAAGGAAATCTGTCAGGATTAACACAGATTCACCAACCTACTATCCTTATTACTGAAGACTGAAAACAATTCTGAATCAGTACGTGCTGTCATATTATACGAGGGAATTTATCAAGAAGGTTAAATAAACAATTATTGTTATAATTTTTCAAGAACAGACTTGGAGAACGATATTCCGTAGGCTTGTCACTTCACAAGCAACTAACATGACCTGACAACGGCCTCGAAATCTGACTTTGGCGCTAGAGATCTATCCTAATAAATCAAAAGATTTCAGTAATAAGGACAGGAGGTCTATTCATTTATAATAATCCTTGAATTTTGTTACACTGTGGAGGTACAACCTCGTTTTGAATATATCAACAGAAGGTGCTGATATTACGTGTTCTGGTAGAGAATTCCAGTAACTCACTAGGTGCGAGAAACGAAACTCCTGACATGGACGATGTGATCTCCGTCTTTGGACTTTCTTCGAATGTCCTCCCAAATGATAATTCCTAGACGGAAGGAATTTATAGGTCATATTAGTACTAAGGTTATCGTTCAGGATACGATAAGCCAATATTAGATCACCCCGTATTCTGCGGTAAGATAACGGAAATAAGTTGAGATGTTTCAGTCTGTCTTCATAAAATAGACCAGATAGACCTTTTACCATTTTAGTCCCTCGGCTTTGGACTCATTCCAGCATATCCGCTCCATATTTGAAACAAGGACTCGTTACTTGAATCCCTTATTCCAAATGTGGTCGCACTAAAGTCGGGTATAATAATCTAAAAAATTCCTCATCCAAATACTGGAAAGATCTACGAATAGACCATAGTGCCCTATAAAATTTTGCAGCAGCAGTCTTACAGTGCGTGGTTTTTTTAAGGTCAATTCTTAGTATGACTCCTTAATCTTTATAGTTTCTTACTTTGGGTACCACAAATCCACATATTATGTAGCAATACGGATCATCGTAGTTATTTAGTTGAAATACCACACTCTTGTTAGGATTCACTTCCAGTGATCACTTGTATACCACCAACGTTGATGGTCTATGTCGAAAGATTGGAGGCCTAC